ATTGGCGCGCTCATGGTCGTCTTCTATGGTACGACGCCATGTTGACGTCGGTCATGCCGCATGATCCTCGTCCTCGATCGAGTAGGCAATGTGCCCAAGCTGCAGCCCGAGCTCTTTAGCGCGATGGGCCTCCACCTCTCGGAGAAGGCATCGACGTACTTTATGATGATCTTGGTACGTCCATGCGCGATGATTGAAGACTCGAGCGATCCTAGGTGTGCTTGCGCGGCCTCGACTCGGCGCTGCCGTTTGGCACTGGCGTGCTTGTCGGCGCCTTGTACCAGACGACGCCGCTCTCCAAGTTTCGTCTCCCGAGCTTTCTCGTGTGGTTTTTCGAGGTACAGCAACAAGCCCGTAGCTTTGCGTCTCTTATGCGCGACTCAGCTCTTCGATGCAATCTTTGCCGTCGTGCCCATGAGTGTGGCTGCGCAGCAGCGCCAGCGCCAGCTCCAAGAAGCACAGCGCCGTCACGGCCACGCCCCCGCTGTACATACGACGCAAACCATGTGAGGTCCTCGGCTCAGTTGTGTGTAGCCAAACGGACAAGGGTTCCGTGACCAGCTCTTGCCGGGCATGGGCGGTGGCATGCCGATGCCGGTTGCGGTACACGCTTCGATCCTCCGTATCGCCCTATGTCATGCGGATGCTAGGCGCCGCCGTCTGATGCGGCCATCGCGACGCTCACGGTATATTTGTTTCGTTTTTATCCCATTTTTGTGAAGTCGGTTTTGATGCGTACTGTGCTGAACTAGGCGCTGGGGTTTGAACGGGACCAAGCGATCGCGGCGCTGCGTGCGGCCGACAACAACGTCGAGGCGGCCGCCAACCGTCTGCTCAACGGCATGTAAAACAGACAACATGTCGTGCATCCCAATGACACTTTTGATCGTTCAACACGAAACACGACAAGGCTACATGGCCGCGTCCTTGCATAGAAAGTCTTCGACGGCGTGTTCGATCCAGACGGCTTCGGTCGCGGCCTCCAGCTCCGTCTTTTGACGCAGCTCGAGCGCCAAACGCTCGTCCAACTGCTGCTTGTGGAGGGCCTCCACTTCTTGGCTCTGCTGCAGCTGCCGCGCGCCATTGACCGGCGCACCGCTGCCCGACCGTTCGCGCGTGTGCTTTTTAGCGAGCGCCGCCATCTCGAACGCTTCCTTCTCGGCCAGTGCCAGTGTCGCAAAGGCCTGCTGCTCGCCAAGCGCCGTGAGCTCGTGCGCGTGTTGCTGTGCGAGGGCCTTGGTTTTAAACTTCCACAACTTGGCATTCGCGGCGGCTTCAAACGCGTGGCGGGTCGTCGCGCTCGGGGACGGCGGCGTCGATGGCTCGGTGGCTTCTTCGAGCAGCGCGTGTTTCTGCTGGATCGCAGCCCACTCGCCTTCTTGCTTGAGCTGCAGCGCGGTGCACTCGGACGCGTGCTTGAGATGCAACGGCTGGAGCGAGTAGTGCTCCCGGAGGGCATCCCAGTTCATCTCGGCTTCGTTCTTGACCATGGTGTTCTTGCAAGGCACGCAAGTGACCGTTGCCATCAACCGAACAGAGAAAGGACGTCCTTTCCCACATACATACTTGTATCAACTCACGAGGCGCCAGTCGGTCGGTCGACTGTTGATACGCGATGGTCGGCAAGCGCTGCGATGGGCTTGGGCAGCGATGACAGCACAGCAGCGACGTCGTAGCAAAGAAGGGCTGCTCCTTGACGCGTCGACAGACCTCAGTATGTATGCAGTCGCCGCACGAGCCAAGGTTCTTTGTTGAGACCAAGTGCCCTCCTTGCTGCTTATCGGCTGTGCTTCTGCTACCCGTTGCGTGGATGCAGTGAGATCAACACGGCCGAGTAAATACGAGCTTTTGGAGTCCATGCCAAGCGAGGTTCTATGCTACGAGCTACGTGCGCTGCAGCCAATGGACGACGGCGATCCCGACCAGCCTACCCCGATGACGATAAGAGGTTGCGAGACGGCGCGGCGACGTACGCAAGGACGAGGTAGAGCGCCATGGTCTCGAGGCTTTCTTGGTACTGGATCGCGGGGGCTGTAGCGAGCGGCAAGACTAAGGAAGCGGGCGAGACATGACTTCACCTACTCGCAAGCTACCATGGAGCAAACGTACTTTCACCCGTGCGGTTGAGCGCGACGCGGACGACGCCGCCATACTCGCGCATGAGCTGCAGCGTCCCCAAGAGGCGGTCGCCGGTCTCGTGCGAGACAAAGACGCTTGGTACAACGACGCTGGTCGAGTTGCCGTTGTCGGGCACCATGCGAATCGCCCACGACCTAGTAGTTGGAGCTCTCGTGAGACGACGCGTTGGCGATGGGAGCCGACTCGTTGCGCGGGCGAGGGTAGTTGTCCATGACGATGACGGCTTTGGCGTGCGCACGCTGCGCTTGCAGAATCTTGAACGCAAAGTTGCAGCCGCCTCGCTGCACCAACGCGACTTTACCCGTAAGGTCCTGCCGCAGCGGCCGGCAGCCGTCGAGTGGCCGCGCTAGAAGGCCACGTCGTCCTTGCATCCAAAGAGGCAGAATTGGCACGTCGGTCGTACCTGCCACGAGCTCGAGGCCGCTGTACTCGTCTGTGTTGCCGACGCGTCGGCCAAACCGGGCGTGGCTGCATGATCAAGGTGGCATGAGCAACGAGGAGGCTGCGCGGAGATGACGTACATGTGGCGCAACGTCGCACAGCATGGCCTACACGCATGCAGCATGAGCGTCCGGCCACGCGCATGGTCGAGCGTACTCTTGGACGACAAGCGCCGACGTCAGCGCTGAGAGGACCGCGACGACGGCGACGAGCATCGATCGCATCGCTTGCTTGTCGGTCGCCTCGTGGCGTCTATCCACTGGCCTC